TTCCTTCGTTTTGTTGTTGCATCCCAACTATTTGAATTCACAGTTTTGCCTTTCGGACTGGCTACTGCTCTGAGAGTATTCACCAAATGTATGGCTCCTGTCTGTGCTTTCCTACGGCTCCAGGGGGTACAAATTTACCCTTACCTTGATGACTGGTTGCTGGTGTCCCAATCCAGGGAGGGACTTTTTGCATCCATCCATATGACCTGTGCCCTGTTAGAAGATCTGGGACTATGCATTAATACCAAGAAATCTTCTCTTCTCCCGGTACAGACGATCACTTTCATTGGAGCCCGTTTGGATTCTACGGTGGCGAAAGCCTTCCTTCCTCAGGACAGACAACAGGCTCTCTCTCGCCACATCCATCGAATGTGACGAGACATGATGGTTCCGGCAAGGTCCATCCAGAGACTTCTGGGGCATATGGCTTCCTCAGTTGCTGTGGTCCTACACGCCAGACTTCGCCTTCGTCCTTTACAACTCCTGTTCAACAAGATGTTCCGACCACAAAGAGATCTGCCAACAAAGATGATTCGAATTCTATCCTCTGTGCTCCACTCTCTGCTGTGGTGGTCAGTTCCAGCCAACCTGACCATGGGGGTTCCATTCAGACCCCGATGCCCTTCGGTATCCTTCGGTACTGATGCATCTCTGCTAGGATGGGGGGCAGTATGCTCCGACCTATACACTCAGGGCACGTGGAATCGTCAAGAATCCGGGAATCATATCAATTTCCTGGAGCTCCTGGCTGTATTCAAAGCCCTGCATTCTTTCGAAGATGTTCTCCGACATCGGGTCGTTCAGATAACCTCGGACAATATAGCTACCGGTTTTTATCTGAACAAGCAAGGTGGAACAAAGTCACCGACTCTGCCCAGACTCTCGATGAAAATCTGGGAATAGTGCATTCCGAGGGACATTACTCTGATGGCAGTTCATCTTGCTGGTATGGACAATGTGGAAGCGGATCTTCTGAGCAGACGCATGCTCATATCTCATTAATGGGAACTAGATCCTCAGATACGCAACCATCTTTTCCATCGTTGGGGTTCTCCCGATGTGGATTTATTTGCCACCCAACAGAACAAGGTGTGCGATACTTTCTGTTCGAGAGTGAGAATCGGGCAGGGATCCCTAGGGGATGCCTTCATGATCCCTTGAAGCAACATTAACTTTTACGCCTTTCCTCTGATTCTCCTTATTATGAGAGTGATAGCAAAGATAATACACGATGGGGCCACAGGGTTACTGATTACCCCTTGGTGGCCATGCCAAGCTTGGTTTTTGATACCGCTCTACATCTCCCATGGAGAATATCTCCATCTTCCTCTGCTTCCATACCTCATAACCCAACGAGACGGCACACTTCGCCATCCAGATTTAACATCACTGAAATTAACAGCATGGCGAATCCGATAACTCATAGTGTGGTATCGGTACCGACAGAATCTATAAGTGACTCGAATCCTGTCTCCAGATCCGGTGTGTTATGCGGTTCGTCTTCGCTCGTTTCCCCCACATCATCGGGTCCAAGGAACGTCCCATCGGATCCTACAGCCTTTCATTCGGATATCCAGTACATCCTTGACTCTGCATTGAAGTTGTTTACACGGAAGTCATATGTGCTAAATGGCGACGATTTTCTACCTTTGCTGAGTCTTGTTCGTTTTCTCCACATGCTGCATCTATACATCAAATCCTTCAGTTCCTATTAGAACTGCACCAGTCTGGACTGAAACCGTCTTCCATTAAAGTGTACACGGCAGCAATCGCCTATACTGTGGCTTAGTTGACTGATCACCCATCTTCTCTCAGCCACTTATAAAGAGGTTTCTTAAGGGACTTCATAATCTTAACCTGTCAATCAGACCAGTGATGCCTACCTGGAGTCTCTCTGTAGTCTTACAAGCGCTTACAAGAGCTCCCTTCAAACCCTTAGCAACAGTCGATTTACGCCTTGTTTCCTGGAAGACGGCATTTCTTGTAGTGGTTACATCAGCTCGAAGGGCTAGTGAGTTCTGCACTCTCCGTATAGATCCTCCTTACCTGAATTTTCACAGAGAGAAAGTTGTCTTGTGATTAGATCCATCATTTCCTTCCAAGGTAGCCACCTCCTTTCATATGGGACAGGACATTGTCTTACCTGCCTTCTTTCCATCTCCGACGAATCCGTTAGAAAGATTGTTGCACTCACTTGATGTTCGGCGCTGCCTGGCCTTCTACAGATCAAGGACTGAGTCTATATGATGCTCTAATAAGCTCTTCATAAAATACTCTGTCCGAGATCAAGGCCTTCCAGTTATTCCTCAAAGACTTTCCAAGTGGATAGTCCATACGATCACTCTATCTTATCAGCTGGCTGGGACTGACTTACCTACAGCTCCTCGAAGCCACTCTACTAGGGCTGTCGCTGCCTCCTCTGCCTTCGCGTCAGGTATTCCAATTGATGACATCTGCAGAGCTGCTACTTGGACGACTCCTTGCACATTCGCTAAACATTATCGCCTAGATGTTCGTGCTAGGCAAGACTGCTCCTTTGGCAGGGCCATTCTTTCATCTGTTCTTCGTTGAGGACACCTCCCCTCCTCCAATAATGGCAAGCTTGCTAATCTACCCATATGTGTGATGCACAGAGGCCACAACGAAGAAAAGCAGGTTGCTTACCTGTAACTGATGTTCTTTCAGTGGCCATCTGTGCAGTCACACAACCCACCCGCCAGCCCCGCTCGGTGTTGGTGAGTGGACATATTTGTCGGTACCGAACATTTCCTTTTTTCATGGTACTGATATTGTTTATAGTAGGGATATTTTTTCCACATGGGGGCGAACGTTCAGGCTTCAAAGACTGAACAACATGGCGGACGCTCCGCTCTTTATAGACTATAGGGGGAGGGGAAGCGGAGCTTTCCCGCCAAAAACCATTAGCTTTCAATCTTCCGGCCAAAGGCACTACGCAGGCACAGCACCCATATGTGTTACTGCACAGATGGCCACTCGAAGAACATCAGTTACAGGTAAGCAACCTGCTTTTTTTGGTCTGAGTTCCCAAGGTACTGTTCTGTGCTTGCAGAAGCTGTCAACAGGCACAAAGGTTTGGTATATTTTTCCAGCCGCTACCTTGATTGCCAAGGCTTAAACTGGATGCAGCTTATGAAACTATGTGCCTTCTTCAGTGTCACCAGGAGGGGATCCTGCCTATATTGACAAGGAACAGACATCTGGCAGGGGAGGTGCCTCAAGTCAGTGATGTCACATCCTTTGACTTGATTACAATTTCCTGTCCTGACCAAAATGAGCAATACCTGAAGTGGGTAAGGGAGGAATGGAAAGAGGGAGAGGAGTGAGCAAAGGAGATAGGATGGAGGGAAGATGCATGATATAAGCTACAATGGCACTAAAGGAAATCCAGGATGGGGGAAAGAACAGTAAAAGAGAGAGAGCAACCAAAGACATGACTTGGGAGAGACTGAGAACAGGTACACACGCTGCTTGTACTCTTAAGGCTGACTCCTGAAAAGAAAAAAGCCTGCCCTTTTACTGATAAACCCTGGGTAGGACAGAAAAGTCTGCTTGCTAGTAGTGTTTCAGAGAATCAGGAAGATGTGGGGTTTGAATCAAGTTAAGTATTAGCTACAAGTGACCAGGAAGCAATGTTGGAGAGGCAAACAGCAACCTTTAGCTTTCCACTGGCTTTCTACAGGCAGCAGTTATTTCAAAGGGAGGAGAAGATCCCTGCCATGATATATATGGTCTGAAATATTATTGTTTATAGAGTAGTCTTCCATGACTCCTTTTCTTGAAGTTTAACTGAACTTTGGTGCATGTAACCAAGACACCTTCAGTAAAAGAAATTGAAACACCTTTTGTATGTGATCCCACTAATGGAATCAATGGGGCAGGGAGGCTTTGACATTCCCCTTCCTCTAGACCCAGTGACAGTCTAGCTGTATCTTTCCCCTGAGGTATGAGCAGTGCTGCAGTCCTGCCCAACAGCTGCCTCCAATGTGGGCAATCACAACATCCCTGATGGAATGGGGTATGTACTGTGATACATCAGCTGTCCAGGCACTTTGGTCCAGCTTGGAGAAGTCCTATCACATTGATTTCTTAGAAGTTTTAGAAGCCCAGCAAACCTTGCATGCTTTCGGATCCCACATTATGAATCATCAATCCCAGATCGCCAAGGTAATATTACTGTGGTCTGGTGTATAATCAATCAAGGGGGCAACAGAATCCCTACAACTTTCGGATCTTGCTTTCAAAGTATAGGATTGGGTGATTCATCAGAAGTCAATATTTTCTTCTATTCATATCTCTGGCACCAAAAATCTCTATTAGTTAAACCTGTCACCTTATCCATTAATGGCAACTGGACCCATCCATCACAGCATCCCTTTTCTGAGAGCTGCATATGGTCTTCGTAGATTTCCTCACCACTCTGGGAAACAGCAGGTGGTGACTTATTTGCACCAAGGTTGCTTACCTGTGAGATCTTTGAATGGAATTTCAGCAGAAGCCCCACCCATTTTCTCTGCTTCAGTGTTTGTGTTGGATTTAGTGTTTATGCTCTAGGCATTTATGAGGTTTCTGTATGGCTCTGTAGCAACATTGAGTGCAAATTCTTTTGACTGGTACTGAGGGTACAATGTGCATTCTCTGGAAACTGTGGGAATAGGCAGGGACCTGCTAAGAACACTGGGACAGTGGGTAGGGTTTCCACAAAAATTCCTCAGTTATACGCACTTCTGAATCAAGGCTCTGAACAGATGGAGGGCCCATATGTGTGCACACACAGATAGCCACTTGAGGAACCACCTGTCTTTACAAGTAGCCTGTATAATCAAAAACATTAAGTGAAAAGTCATTTAGTTTCAACAATTTATATAAGAACGTAATAAATCATACCAATGGCAGCACTGGATATTAACCATTTTATCCATACTGTTTAATTCAGTTGTTGGTTTCTTCTCTCCTTCTCCTCCCCGACTTTCCTATGGCAGTCATTTTACTGACCATTATCACTCAATCGCTAAAGCTGTGGGTCACCTAGCAACTGTTGACTGTATCTTTTCCTTGGCTGAGGTTGCCAGACAAGGAGACTATTGCAGGTAATTACTTTTAAACAATATACTGGAGTAAGCTTTGTTGATTTAGGATAATGTCTTGTTAGGATGCCCAGAAGCCCCTGAACATGGAGGCATGGGCATCCACTGCAGAGCAGGAGGTGCACTGGAGGAAGTCTTAACCTTTCCATCCTCCTATTTGGCGATTTTGTCCTAACCTTTCCATCCTCCTACTTGGCAATTTTGTCTTAACCTTTCCATCCTCCTATTTGGCAATTTTGCTAGAGAGACTTTTTTGCTTGTCTAGCTGGAGTGTTTTGGGAAGAACGGAAGGAGGCTTGTCACTCCAGTCTCCAACCATTCCCTTTTATCTCTCCTCTATCCTTCTCTGAGATTGCTTTCCTGACTTCAGAGATCACTTCTTTTGTGGGCAAAGTGATGTCGTGGGGTCAATTTCTACTTTCATGGTTGGAGTGCAGTCTCTCAGCTCAGGTAAAGGAATCTGAAGAAGGGTCATAGGATCATTGTGCTAATTAATACAACAATAAATACTGCCATGCACCTATTTGCAATTATTTGCAAGAGTCTCAAAGTGTTGTACTGTCTCAGGTTGGATTGATGGAGTTGCATTTGCTGTAGAATGTGGTCTGCCTTCATACTGGAGAAGGTAGAAGTCAGATTTTAGATTTCTCACCCCATAATCTATCTAACATAATATAATTTATTTTTCAGACCTGTCATAAAAGATGAACAGTCAGAGATAATGATAAAAAATGGGAAGCATCCAGTGATAAATGTATTATTGGGAGAGCAAGAGCAGTATGTTCCAAATGACACACACTTATCTGTAAGTAAGAAAGGAAGAAGGTGGATAGATGATGGGAATATTACATCATTTTTATTCTGAAACAAACAAAATACCATATATGTGTTTTTATTTCCAAACTGTAGTATCACTGAAAATTTTGCCCCTTTCAGTTTTGCAATGGATGATACTTTAAAAGGATACTTTTTTGGGATTCTCGATAAAGAGTAAAATTATTAGACTTAAAATGTTGTGAGCTACTCTGAGTGTGAACATTAATATGAATATTTAATAAATAACCGACACCTAAAAACTCTCAATCAGAAATCTGTCAAGTAATAACCTTGGTTCAGCTGACCCCATATGACCATTAAAGTTCTGAAATTGTTAAATGGTGTATTTCTGAAATAATTTCAGTTTTCCTTTTTCCAGGCAGATGGTCAAAGGGTAATGATAATTACTGGGCCTAACATGGGTGGAAAGAGTTCTTACATAAAGCAAGTTGCATTGATAACTCTAATGGCACAGATTGGTTCCTATGTACCAGCTGAAGAAGCAAGAGTTGGTATTGTGGATGGCATATTCACCAGGTGAGATATATGAGCTGTATTTATTAATAGGTCATAGACTCAGATAGAAGTATAATTTCACATTATTGGACATTTGTTTTAAGTGGCATTTGCCTATTTATCCACTGGTTGCTTAAACTGATAGCTTCATACTTTATAAGAAATCACCTATAGGTTGTAGGAACAGTTTAGAAATAGGAAGTTAGTGCCTACTTAAAGATTCAGATATCAGGCATGGTTTGGATTTAATATTCACTAGCTATAAGGTAAATCTCCAGGTATTTTGGAATTCAACTCCCAGAAAACTTTGCCAGCATGGACAGTGGTCAGGAATGCCCAGAGTTGGAGTGCAAACATCAGGAGATCCACTTTCTGCCCAATGAGGCTATTTACTTGTTGCAGCTTGCCACTTGCTATGTATCTGTTTTGACTAATATCTGTTTTATGAGTCACATCCCTGTCTTCTCTTCTGACCTGAGAAAAAGCTTCAGATTTGAAAAAAAGGGAAGAAGAAGAAAACATGGCTGCTGCTTCCACTGTGTGCCAATTGGCTCAGTCTGAACAATGTTCAGATTACTAAGAAATCTACTTAGATTGGTTTAAATTTACTTAAAAATATCTTAATTTTCATTTGTAAACTGTATATACACCTGTGTGTTTCCATTCTCCTTTTTTTAGAATAATACAAATTGAAGCATGATTTGACTTTGCCACTTAAATTTATGTCTTTCACTCGTTATTTAGTTCGATTACAAGTATGGTGGTAAAATGTATTACACCATTTCAAGGAGAAATTAATTCACTTTAGTATAAGAATATAAGTTTATTTTAGTTTTAGGGAATAACAGTTACATCAGTTCTATTATATATGACAAGTTGACAATACTGAACTGTTAAAAAAAAGTATTATTTTAGTATTTATTCATTAAAAATGCCACAATTCCCATTTAAATGTGCAGGACTGAATGAATGCTGCTCAGCAGAATAAAATACTCAGCATAGCAAACCTGATTTGAACTTTCTCATCAGAGACACATAGAATTTTATAGTTAGAAGGCACCATGGAGATCATGTCGTCCAAAGCCTTGATAATGATAAGTTTACGAGGTAGGGCAGGGCTGGGGAAACTGCTTCTGTTGTGGGACTGAATGACACCCCTTCCAGCTTCTTGGGCTGAATGAAGTCAGGAGCATGGCTACACCCTTGATATGATTTGGTCTCCAGCCAGTGTGCCAGCTGGATCATTTACTTGGAGTTTGGATGAAGATTCAGCTTCATTGCACATAGGTTTCTGTCACTGTGTAAATTTGGCTTGCAGCCAAATTCAGCAATTATTGTTACTTTAAATAGAATTTGTAAAGATTGAGTTATTGTTAGCACTTCACACATTATCAGCGCATTTTCGTTGTAGTCTGTAATAACCTTAAGGGACATGTAGGTTCTATCATGGCTATTTTATTAAGTGATATATACCTATTGGCTGAATGAGAAGCAGATTTCTTAGAAATTAGGATTTCCCTAAGTGTTCTTTTTAAGTTGCATGCCATTGCTTGTGATGATTATTGAACATTCTTATAAATAATGTAGAGCTATGTCAACTAATCATTTTGGGACTTCTGTATTCCTGCTGAGTATCTCTTTTGTACAAGCTATCTAATCCAATGGGGTCACGATGGGTCAGACACGACTTCGCGACTGACAACAACATCTAATCCAAATGTAGAAACCAGTTATCCTACACTGTTTTATGAAGAAAACTAACCCTTGGTGTATATCAACAAAAGAAACAAGACCATACTGTCAGAAGTAATATCCCAGTGTTATAACATCTAAGACAAAACTAATGCAACACAGGTTTATGTCACTCACGTTCAAAGAAAACAAACTTTGTTTTCAGATAGTTTATTGAATTTAGTAAGTTTGAAATATTGGATAGTTAAAAATGCTTTATTTTGTTGGAAAGTGTAGTGGTTAGCTCAAACTTTATTTAATCCAGGTCCTTATTTCTAGCCAGATTTGATTTGTTTTGAACTGATAAGTCTCTCATCAATATGTAAAATCATTATATTGGATCTTTGCTCAGTTTACAACATGTGACTGTATTACTTTGTGCATGTAAGAAAATATGAGGTCAAAAATAATTGGCAATAAATGTAACTTTGATGTTCATTTGTTGTTGTTGTTAGTCGCGAAGTCATGCCCAACCAATCATGACCCCATGGACAACACTCCTCCAGGCCTTCCTGTCCTCCACCATCCCCTGGAGTCCACTTAAGCAAATGTCTACTGCTTCAGTGACTACATCTAGCCACCTCATTCTCTGCCGTCCTTTTGCCATCAATTGTTCCCAGCATTGGGTTCTTCTCCAGGGAGTCCTTCCTTCTCGTTAGGTGGCCAAAGTATTTGAGTTTCATCTTCAGTATATGGCCTTCTAAAGAGCAGTCAGGGTTGATCTCCTCTAGGACTGACTGGTTTGATCATCTTGCAGTCCAAGGGACTCACAGGACTCTTCTCCAGCACCACAATTCAAAGGCCTCAATTCTTCGGTGCTCAGCCTTCCTTATGGTCCAACTTTCACAGTCATACCTTGCAACTGGGAAAACCAGAGCCTTGACTATACACACTTTTGTTGTCAGGGTGATGTCTTTGCTTTTTAGTATGCTGTCTAGATTTGCCATAGCTTTCCTCCCCAGGAGCAAGCATCTTTTAATTTCTTGGCTGCAGTCCCCGTCTGCAGTGATCTTGGAGCCCAGGAAAATAAAATCTGTCACTACCTCCATTTCTTCCCATCTATTTCCCAGGAAGTGATAGAACCAGATGCCATGATCTTAGTTTTCTTAATGTTGACGTTCATACAATTTTTTAATTAAAAGTATAAAGAGACATGGAAGATGATGTATGTATATGGAACATGCATATTTTGGTATCAAAGAATATTAGAAATGTTGTGTATTCTGATTTCTTGCTATTGTTTTCAAACCAGTTGAAAGAAACAGTTATTTCCAATTTATACCATAGTTCCCTTCGTATTGCCAATTTGTGTGGTATTTGTTCTCTCATCTGCAGATAGGCAAAGGGTTCATCTGTGTGCTACAGTCTTGAAGCACAGCATCTGCTTTAGCAACATGGCCTTATCCAGCCTTGTCCTAACTTTCCACAAATTATTTTTAAAATACACGTTGAGTGTAATTAATTCAAATTGCTAAGGAAAATTAAAATTCTTTTTGACACAATGCAAATAATGAATAAAGTAGTTAATTGCTTATTTTTGTTTAACATATTTAGATTTTCCATTAGTGTTAAAGTTACAGATTTTGAATAATACTGCACTTCTCTATGACAAGTTCATACCATGTGAAATAAATGCTAAAGCTAAACTCATTTCTTATCCAGTGACTTTTGTATATAATTTGTACCTTTTATCACTGTTATATACAGTACAGATTATAGTTGTTACTTATCATGAATGAAATATTTGTTTTTACAGCAGTCTCTTACCATGGAAAAAAGCCAGTTATATTCAGGAAATTCTGAAAAAAAATCTTCCTTGACTGTGATGTAAACTATTTTGAGAACTTGGAGTAGACCAAAAGATCATATGCTGGCCAGTTTTTAATAACATGCTGCAGCTTGTCATGGGTATGCAGTCTGGCTTGGGTGTTGTCATGTCATGCAGACTTGGCAAAGCATGTGAATACAAATGTTAAACCCTTACAAAACCAGTGGTGATCTGTTTTAGGGTTATGTGAGGAAATTTAACCAAATTAACTTGCCAAATTCATAACCCCAATCAGCGGTTGCATATTCAAAATGGTGGCTGCATGCAGTGTAGCCTCACTGTGGTGGGCTGTCCTGTCGTGTCGTGTCACGTCAATAATACCAATGAGTGGGTACTCATGGTTTCTGTGGGGCTTTGTGGCTTATTTAAGCCATGATGCTGCAGTGCCATAGGTGGCATGCTGGATCATAGTCATAGAATAGTAGAGTTGGAAGGGGTCAGGAAGGCCATTGGGTCCCCTGATGGTATGAATTGCAGGACACCAATGTATTCCATCCCACTCAGATGGCTGTCCAGCTTCTTTTTAAATGTCTTTAGTGGGAGAGAGCCCATGACTTCTCCAAGCAACTGGTTCCACTGTCACATTGCTCTGACAGTGAGGAAACTTTTCCTGATATCTAGCCTGAACCTGGGCTTTTGCAAAGTGATTTGATTATTTTGTGTCCTACATTCAGGTTTGAGGTACTTATAGAGGGCTATCATGTCCCCCCTCAGTCTTCTATTCCGGTGAACATGCCCAGTTCTCTCAGTCTCTCCTCATAGGGCAGTGTTTCCAAACCCTGGATCATTTTTGTTGCCCTCCTCTGGACCCTTTCAATTTTTTCTACATCTTTCTTAAATCATGGTGCTCAGAACTGGATACAGTATTCCAAATGGGGTTTGATTAGTAAGGAGCATAGGAGAACTTCCACTTCTCATGATTTGAAAGTAATACTTCTATTAATGCATCCCAAAATAGCATTTGCTGTTTTGGTGGCTGTATTGCATTGTTTAGCCTGTTATCCACAATTTACTCTGAAATGAAATCACTTTTCATTTCTGTTGAGCCATGTATTCCCCATCTTGTATCAATGCATTAGATTTCTTTTTCCTAGGTGGAGGAATTGGCATTTGTCCTTACTGAATCTGATTCTGTTGCTTTCAGCCCAGAGTTCAAGTTTATCAAGATTGCCCTGGATCTTCATTCTGTCTTTTAGGGTGTTTGCTGTTCCACCCAGTTTGTATTGTTTGCAAATCTGATTAGCTTTCCTTGTAATTATAAATCTAATTCATTAATAAAGATGTTGAATAGCACTGGGCCAAGGACTGAACCCTGCAGTGCCCCACTAGTTACCTTCTTCCAGTTTGAAAATGCGCCATTGTGTCTGATTTAACAGCCAATTTTGGATCCACCTAATAGTTTTTCTAACTAATCCAGTTTTTGCTAATATTCTTATCAGAATGTTGTGGTGCACTATGTCAAAAGCTTTGCTAACATCTAGGTAGATTATGTCCACAGTGTTCCCTCTGTCAATTTGGGAGGTGACCCAGTCCAAAAATGAGATTAAATTAGTCTGACAGGATTTATTATTGATACTCGTAAATCCATGTTGGCTTTTATTAATCACTGCATTTTCTTCAAGGTGCTTGCAGACTGATCTTTTAATAATTTTCTCCAGAATGTTTCCAGGGATTGATGTCAGACTGAGTGGTCTGTAGTTTCCTGCGTCATCTTTTTTCCCCTTTATAAGGAAGGAAAAATGTTAGCCCTTCTCCAGTTGTCTGGCAATTTTCCTGTTTTCCAAGATTTATCAAAGATAATAGTGGTTCTGAGAGTTCCTCTGCTAGCTCTTTTATGACTCTGGGGTGGAGTTCATCAGGCCCTGGAGATTTGAACATGTTTATTCGAGCCTTAAAGTGTCATTCTAGAGCAGGGGTCTCAAACTCGCGGCCCGCGGGCCAATTGCCGGGATGGGTGGGGCATGGGGAAGGGGCCCTGCGGCCTTCAAAGCTCCGGCGGCGCCCGGGCCGGCCGTGGGATGAGCGGCCCACCATCACCACGGTGGTGGAATACTTGATGCAGCCCAGCCTCACCCAGACTCTACTTCCAGTGGCCCCCAGGTAAGTTGAGTTTGAGACCCCTGTTCTAGAGGCAGTGGGTTGTGCCAATGTTAAACCATGGCCTGTTCAGGGTTATGTGAGAATTATGAGAAATAACCTTTGCATTATCTGTAGATCCTAGGTTCAGATAACATGACAAGCTATGGTCCCAGTTTGACCAATAAGAGTAGTCACCAAACTCACTGCAGCTCACTGTTGCTTAAATAAACCACAGTGGGCTTTTGATCATGCAAACTGAACCACTGCCTCCCTATGTCATCTTTTTCTGTCTTTGTTTTGTTGTTAAGTCTGTCTGCTGTGTAGCCCATGCATCTCCAGTCTTTTTGAGCCTGTGGGCATATTTGCAAATTTAATAAACTGCTGTCAGCACCACCACAAAATTAGTGGATCTCCACTTTGGAGTCCATCTGTCACATTTCTGGTTATTGTATTTTTTTTCAGCAAAATTTTACATTTTGTATCTGTTGGATACCTCAGTGTCTGTTTAATTCGATATTGTCTAATTCAGTGAATTGCTGGCACTGCAGTACTGCTAATGCTTCTTTTAAACATGTTTTGGCAATGTCCAGTGGTTCCTTCTTTTTGGGAGGAGGAGGTTAATTATGTATGTATTTAACTTCTATACTGCCCAATAGCCAAAACTCGCTGGGCAGTTTACAAAACATTAAGAATACAGTATAAAATCCACCACATTCTACACATTAAAATACAGTATACAATATACCACATCATAAAACATCATAAAATGATTGCCATATAAAATGTAAAACAAAATTTTTGTATGACAATCTTTTGATGATGTTTTAGAATGTGGTGGATGCATTTTATACTATATTACACAGATAATTTTGTGTTAGAACCTTCTTTAATATTCACTGACATTCAGTCAGTTTAAAATTATTTGCCTGCTTCATAGAAATTAGTAAGTGAAAGGAGAAATGGATTTTTGTGTTCTTTTCATAGTTAAAAGACTGATATTAAAAATTGGAATGATAAACACACACCTCCTATAATACAATGTATAAGGACCTTACAATATGATATATTAATAGATGGCATATAAATGCATTCTTCATATAGATACTTATTTGGATATTTGATCCACTTTTGTTGAAGCCTAGTTAGAGTATAGCTAGAAAATTGTATGCATTCAAATAAATCTATGTACATATACTGAAGTGAAACATATAAAAAGAGTGTCCATGGTAAACATATTTGAGATTCCTTCAGAGGTATTGTTCAGGTTGCCTATGGACACCACAGTAGGGATACCTGAATTAAACTCTTAATTCAGAACCCTTTTCTGTGTTAGGACTATAGCAGTCCTTATATTTGTTTCAAATTTTAATCATACTATTTTTAAATTTATCTATTCTAGTAACTAGATCAGGTTATAATGGACAGGGAACACAACAAAATTATTTAGAGGAGGTTCATAAGGTGGTAAGCTGTCATTTGAGCATGAGTGCTTGTTTTCTAGAACAAAATAGTGTTGTTTAGTGTTGCTTAATTTGGTCCCAATAAAATTGAATGGTCTTGTTTTCTTTTGCAGAATGGGTGCCACGGACAACATATTTAAAGGTCACAGTACATTTATGGAAGAGCTGACAGATACAGCTGAGATAATTAGAAAAGCAACTTCACGTTCACTGGTAATATTGGATGAACTGGGGAGAGGCACTAGCACACATGATGGGATTGCAATTGCTTATGCTACTCTGGAGCATTTTATTAGAGACGTAAGTATGTTATCTGTCATTTTGAATATTGCTGGGGTGAAAATGATCTCTGATGATATATAGAAAACATCTTCAGTGTTTTAATTTTTTAGCCAGTCCTGCTTGGAGTCTCTAGATAGTTCACATTTAAGACATAGCACATAGTAAGATTAATGTAAGTAAAACAGGTAGAAATACATGTTAAAAACAGGGCCTACTGGCGTTCACTCCAGCTACCTTCATACCTCATTCTGCAATGCTGTTCAATGATTCTCAGACTTCCACTGGGGTGTTGAAATGTGGAGGAGACACAGAAACCATCTCTTTATGTATGTAGTCTTTTCTTTCTAGATTAGTACAGTTATGATTTTACTCAGAAGGCTGCTTATGGTTTGTATAGCTCAGCAAGTTTTGGGTTTCAGTACCTGTTCACACTGTGTATCAGACCTTGAATGTAACCCGTAAGTGCCCAAGTGAGTAGGCACAACTTACATAATTCATCTGCTGCAAAAACAGAATACATGACTACAGTCTGTTCCATTTCACATTTATGACTGTAGAAATTACTTAACGGTTAAGGCCCAGTAAGTAGTACAAAAGAGAGCACATGTATCATCACATTTGAAACTATTGTACTAAGACCAGGTGTGACCTGCCTTCTCAGATCATAGTCCCCTGGTTTATATAAACTAGAGGAAGAGCAATTTTGGCTCCACTCTACCTTGTAGAAATTCCAGGTATTTTGAACAAGAAATTCCTTCTGTTACTGGCAGTATATTTATTCTATTATTCCTTGATCATGTGAGCAATGGCACAGCACTGATTTAAATATACAAGGCCTCTGAATTATAGGAAAAGTGGATATTGGAACCAAGCAATTTAAGGGCTTAAAAAGTCAAGACCAGCACCCAAAAGACAAAAGGAAACATGTGCCAAAGGTGTAGTGCAAAGTAACTGCTTTTGCACGAGTTGACTCTTTCACAAGCTTATACAGAGCACAAGACTGTAAACTTGCATGATCTAGAGGAGCTGACCCAGTTGTTGCTATCCAGTATACTAACCCACTATACCTCTCATGGTCAGCTCCTACAAGGCTGTGGTTTATGAACTGCACATGTAGTGAGGTGTGGGAATAGGTTTTTGCCCACTGCTTGCAGAACTTTAAACATAAAATGGGCTTATGTCCAACTGTTTTATACAAGTAGAGCCATTTTATCCAGTTTGTCATTTCTTTTTTGCCCTAGCAGCAGCTTGTTTCAGTAGGCTTACTTGCTTACAATTGGTTATATTGAAGGTTGTACACAGAAGGGTGCAAACACAGGAAGAAGGTATTTTTTTCATCTGATTAGTAGTATCTTGTGGTTCATAGAATGCAGCTTTCAAAGACTTTAAAGGGAAGGGAGTTATACATGCTGCTCTAAAGGAAGCACTGAAAAGTTTTCTTGGGCTGTGGATCCTAACCAAAGTCTGCAAGACATGGATGGATGAAAAGGGAAGAGATAGCCATGTGACTTTAGCCTAATGATGATCCTTATATCAGATTGCTTGGGCAAGAGATATGACATTATTTGTTAAATAGGGAGTAGGAACAAGATGAAGCTCCTCCAGCTTCTCAGGAAAGGTGACAAAATATTATTAGTATTGGTCCATTATTGCTGTTTATGACATCTCTTTTAATATTTTTTAATGTATTTTCCTAGGTGGGTTCATTGACACTATTTGTCACCCATTATCCTCCATTGTGTGAATTAGAAAGAGCCTACCCAAGGCAAGTTGGAAATTACCATATGGCTTTTATGGTGAGCGAAGATACCAAGGAACAAGAAAAGGGTATGTAGTTTCTTTCCGGTAGTTCCTAAATGTTGTTTAGTTGAATGGCTACTAGCATCAATTAATTTTACTTGTTAGTTATTGAAAAACTGGTTGTAGTTGGGGCTTAGCTAGAAGTAACTTCAGAGACTTCCAGAGTTATTAAAAATTTCTGATATAAACTGTACTGAATTAAATTGTGCTTAATACTTAATTATGCTTAAGTGCTTTATTTTTTTTCTAGAATGTGAAGAAAATCCTGAATTTGTCACTTTCCTTTATCGACTAACAAGAGAAGTTGCTTCAAGGAGTTATGGACTAAATGTTGCAAAATTAGCAGAAGTTCCTGAAGAAATTATTAAAAAGGCATCTCAAAAATCGAAACAGCTAGAGAGATTAACAGATATGAAGAGGTTAGAGTAAATTGATTCATATTTTTTGTGTTAATAAAACTTTGTAGCTAGATGGGCTTTTCTGAGTAGCCAGAAAAAGTATGGTCGAGAGATGCCTAAATGCTCAATAACAGTAATGTTGTTGCTGTTACTGCAGCTGTTGCTTCTGTTGGGATCTATGATTTAAACAGATAAATTAGATTAAGAGAGCAGCCCTTTGGATGTAAGATTTTTTTTTTTATTGCTTTTCCCAAAGCTGCGAAAGAGACTGATCTGATCCCTTTCCTCGCAACCACCACAGAATGAACTACTACAGCTGTTTCCAGGGTAGAAATAGCAACCTTGAATTGGCTCATAGATGTTATAAAAGAGGCATTGTGGGGGAATGGGATAGGAGAGGCTTGGATCTGCTTTATCCTATGGCCCCTCAGCCTTGGTAAAACAGACTAGCCAGACAGGCTTAGAGGATCACCTAGAGGAGGAAAAAAGCAGAAAGGACAGTTAGTGGAAGCTGGGCTCTCTTTCTTTTCCGTTCACCTTTCAGTAGGATTCCTGTATGATATCATTCCTAAATTCTGTTAAAGAAAACCAATTTTTTAGGCAACTGTTTTTTTTTTCGAATTGTGATGAGCTTTTGTATAATAGCCTGATCCAGTCAGACTTAATTATTACTCAACTAAAGCTAGTAATGCCTTCCACATTTCATTGCACGGATCAGGGCCAGTGTCATCTATGTGCATGAAAATACACAGTGCTGAAGTCGCCTTCTCCAGAGCACACGTCTCAAGTATATTAGAGATACAATACAGGAGCCCAGCTTTAAATGTAATGTTTAAATTCTGAAGTGAGGATTCAGAAATATGAATCGCTTCTGGGCTTTACTCTTTAAAAATTTGGAGGAAAAGTAAAATGGTTGCATTTTCATGACATAAAGGACTCATCAGGGATGGTTCAAACAGTGATGATTCATGATATGTACTTAGTGCCATTTTAAAGAACCCATGCTATGAAAGCCTGGCCATGCGTGTTATTTGAGGGTGAATCATTTCTCATATAAACCTAACACAAACAGAATTATGTGAGGGCTCAAATAACCCTCCATGGCCAGCTTCTCAAAAGGTTGTCCCACAAACACTAGTTTGTTCTGGGTTAAACAAGCCCCATGAACCTCATGTGTCATGTGAACGAGATCAATACTAATTCATTTTTGTTTCCATCTCACATTTGTCCAAGGGTCCGAATAGTTAACAACAGTTTAAGATTTAAAGAATATAATAAAATTAATTACATCTTTATTTTAAAGTTGCTACTAGCATAATTCATAGGAGTATTAAGGTTCAAGGGTAAGAAGAAATTATTAAATGAATACTTCAAAAAAACCTTAAAAGATCTAGTCACTGCTGTCCTGTCATACATAATTAGTGGGGGGGTGATGTAAGGATTCATTTTAATTCAAAATTAAATTGCTTACAATTAGTAGATTTGCAGTTGAATGATTTGAAAGAAGTAGGCAATTTAGAATCACAATTTTTATGGCTCCTGTGTTTTCAGAATCTCATGTGTTTTCCAATGGTAAAAGACAGAGAAAAATTTGAGTTGTAGGCCTTCTTATGTCTAAAAATGTATAGGATTGTGCCAATATAACACATTGTTTTTCTGTTGTAGAAGTTACATGTATAGGACAGGGATACATTGCTCTACAATTTTGAGAAAAAACAGTATTTCAAAATTATAGGTAAATTCTGGCAGGTGAATTAACAGTAGTATTAAATAATGTAGATTTTTTAAAAAGTTATAAAAATGAACATCTGAGTTGAGAAAACTCATTCCTGTCAGACAATAGTAGGAAGTTGAGGCTGAAATAACTATTCAAGGGGTAATCCAAACTCCAGTTGCTCCCAGTCATCCTATTCCTGATGACTGCTTAAAGTTTCCCATTTTCCTATGCAGTATGCAGACTACATTGTGCCCTTCCTCTTTTAGTAATAATACTTCAGAAAAACAAGCACCAACAATAACAGTAGTTATAAAGTTTTCAGTGAAAACTCAATTTCAATGAGACTTGCATAGAGCTTCCTGATAGATTTTGTTCTCATTTCTTTCCACATCACCCTTTTGATATGAATTGTAATTGTGTGAATAATGCTTTGTTTAATTGGGACAATAAATGACCTGGCTGGTCAATTGTTGTATATAAAATTTCTACTGAGAGATTTAAATGTTGATGAATTGATAGCTTCATAAATTCTAATACTTAACATTCTTTTTATTTTTATTTTTTAGAAAAAGACTAATGGCATTTGCTAGACTTTGGAATACTAATGATGCTGGAGAATTGCAAAGATGGAAAACTGAATGTGAAACAGATACAGATTTGAGCCAACTGTAAAAATTCCTCAAAACTTGCCAATTGAAATTGGAAACAGTATAGGTTTAATATAAATTATCCTACAAAGAAATATATACATACATTGTGACATTTTTTGAACACAGAGATGGATTTTAACAAGCTAATGACTGAGTCATGTGGTCATTTTTGTCATTTTTTGTATAAACTGCACCACAAAGGTAGTTATACAGTGGAGAATGCAAAGTTAGAAGCTGTCACTGGGCACAGAGGCTTTCTACTCCAACTTATTTCCTAATCAGAATTATCCTCTTGAAGTTGCACAATGGAGAGAAACATAAAGGTAATAATTATGGTATATTAGGATATATAGTCCCCCTTTTTTCTGGAGGAAGTTATGTAATTAAAGTAAAAAGATACGAACTGTTAAGCCTACTGCAGTGACTTGATTCATTTTGGAAACCGCCTGTACCTGCTTTAAACTTTCAGATAAAAAGACATGGGAGATTTGTTTGTGGGTCTTCTGACAACTTGCCTGGTTTGGGTCCGTATAAGTTGCTGTAATTGGAAATCATTGCAGAATGTACCTTTCATGTGGTACTTTCTTGACATCATTATGGGCAATCTTGTAAAGAAAATATGTTGCAAAAATAGTCCATATGGATAGGTTTCAACTATTATTTAAATGCAATTGACATTGTGTGCACAAACCTGATTTTTATTTTTTCAAATTGCTTAATGTCTAGCGAGCTTAATTCACTGAAAATAAAAGCATTGTATAACATCCTCCCATATTATGTATCCTACAGGCGATATGCATTCATTCTTATAATTTCATTTTATTTATGTGCTGTTTGATGAAGTTGCATATAATTACTGACTGAAAACATGAAAATTGTATTTATAACTTTTAGAAATAATTTTGTATTTAATAAAATAATGGCATTAAAGGGTTTCTTGGTTTTTAAAATGATTTCAGTCAGAATAGTAATTCATATCTTTGTTATTACCCCCACCTCCATGGAATCCTTGTAAAATTCATACACAATTGCTTTGTTGTTACACAAGAAACTATTCATTTGTATGAAGGTTTTTTAAAAAATTAAAGGGTTATGACATCTTCATCTACAATAAGCATGGCATTTAGAGAATACCAATGTATACCTTTTAGGATTTATCATGTATAATAAAAATCAGCCTTTACAACTAAAAAAATGAGAGATGGGATGGTTTGATTTCTCTCAGTTTGAAGACTGTAGTGGAATAACTGCAATTAATAAACTACTCAGTACAGCCAGACTGATTATTCTCAGTGGGAAAGGTAGAAGGACTACTTTTATTAATATTTATATTCCTCCAGTATAGCTACCTTTATGACATAGTCTGGACTAGATTCTGGAAACTATGCTATCATGTACCCATGCTCTCGTGGAGATTTTAATGCTCATATAGGACTGAAATCTAAGGACAGTCCATTGTCTATGTACATGGAAGACATTATTCCTTGGGACTGTTTCGCATTAGATGAGGTCTTACATTTAGTGCTTGGGAGCTACTGAAGACTTTGTATAGACCTCAGATACTGAGGAGCACCTGGGAGTTGCTTGATAAATTGGATGGATCCTTTTCATTTTTTAGTATTGGGAGTAGAAATAATACAGAATATTTTTTTCTCTGTCTAAATGATTGTCACATTTAGACAGAGAAAAGCAAGCTGGGAATGATCATTTTGCCATTAATTTTGTTTCTCAAACAAAGTGTGGAATAAACCCCACCAAAAGCATCTTGGATGGCTTGAGAATGGGATACAGGAGACTCAGTTGGTCTGAATTTTTGAAATAAGGCATCCATCAACTTAATGTTTTTTTTTAAAGAAAATGTCTAGATGTGTCTGTTTATTATCCATTTATATATTTATGCATCACCTGTTTTTATATTCTTTGCAATATTACATTTTGAACGTTTCTGTTCTTTGTAAATTGCTCAGAGAGCTTTGGTTATGTAACAAATGAATGAATCAACTTAAAAATATCTCACATCTTACCCAGCTTAGAACAGATTTCTAAATGACAATGGAGCTGTTTTAAAAGTTGGGTAAAACAGGCTATCTGAGGGTTATACAAAATACATTTCTATGATGCATGCTAGCCCCTTTCCTTCATACTGCAGCTGCTGTTCATGCTAAGGTGGCACTACCATCAACATTTGGTAGTGAATGGGGCCATTTTCTTGTACCTGAAAAAACTGAACAGGGCGAGTAACCAGTTGGCTACATTTTGCTGTTTATAACAGAAGAGCAGGATTGGTTGGACTAAATCCACCCAGGGAACCTTGGGGCTAATGGGGTGGGATAAAAATCTAATAAATAAATACTTCCTTTTTTGAAAAATGTGTCAATTTTTCTCATTGACTTCCTTTCATCTAATTAAATGTAAGGGCAACAGAGGTTATGCTAGCTCTAATGATGCTAAAAAATAAGTAGGATTTAGCAGGTGGTACAATCTTTACAAGGGAGACAATCTTTTTAAGAATTCCTTGATTGACTCAGAACTAGGGGAAACATTTACAGAATCAGTTTTTCAGACTGTCTTTTGCATATCTGGATGGGAGTTATATCAATGTTACTACATTTCAATGCCTTTGTATATTAGGAGAAACACAAATGGAAGATATCAAGAAGTACATTTTTGAGATGTCACTCCCTCTAAGAAGTTCCATTTTGTGGAACTGGGTTTGTAGGATTCAATAAATCACTTGTATGTTGATCTAGTCCCCAGGCTTTCAAGATCAGAGCTCCACTGTCTCCAAATTAGACCGACTAATTTCAGCTAGGCAGCAGGGGAATCATTTTAACACTCCCTCCTTGAAAGCCTGAAGAAATTGCACCAAAGGTATTTGTACTAAATTATCTCCCCATCCCAAAAAGGGCTACACGTCAGAAAATTAACAATACAGCATCATTTACTAACAGATGTAACAGTTATTTGAAAAATGCTTGTGGTCTGAAAAGAACAACTTTGATGTGACATTGCATTTGTCCAACATAATTTATTATTTTTATGAGCAGAAGTGTCATTTAGCAATTTAAAGAGAAAGCACCAAAGATGACAACCTATCCTAACATTAGTAAGCAGATTGAATTCAAGATGCTGATGTATATTATGTTTATGGCTTACAATGTAAACATGTTCTCTAATGTTTCTGAAGAATGTAAAATGGGATTATAATATAGGATAATGTTAAAGAAAAATAAAATACGGATATTTTACATGCAAAGATAGTTTTCATAATATACTGCATAAAGAAATTTAACACTGAAATGAGGCAATACAATGTTGGCAAATATCTGCTGTTTATTCCTAGTATTGTTGAAGTTTAACTTCAGCAAAATTAATGATATAAATATTTCCTGCTGTGTATCTCTGTAGTCATTACTTGGTTTAGTCATTACCATTAATTGCTTGTCAGGTTTTGCTATGTTACTTTAAAATTAGAATAGGGAGCAAAATCCTCCCAAGTAGACAATAAAAATTAAACATGCAATAGATGTTCTTTCTTGGTTTCACTGCAAAATTAATTCCACATAACAGGTAGAATAAAATACCTGTCTGCAAGCATGTAACAAGCTATAAAGATACAAAGCTTGTTTGTTCTATACCTTTACTTGAAGGCAAGTCATATTTTTTTCAGCAGGCAACACCATGATATAATAACACGTTTAAAACTGGCATGGCCACTGTACATCATGTAACAGCATTACACAGCCACTCAGTTTCGAAGATATAGCCATAACTGAGCTTCACAGTGGGCCCTTGCAAATAGCTATGGAGGAGTATTTATGAGGGCATCATCATCACCATCAAGATTTAATTCTAGGTGTGAACTGCAGGTTCAAACACATCTGGGAATCATCATGTATTTCTGAACTGTGCAATGGCTGAAGCTTTTTGAATGGTTCACACCCATTCATAAAATTACAGACCACAAGTACAAATAATAAAATAATATTTAATATACATAACATCTCAATATAGAAAATTAAAGAGGACTTAAAACAGCTAAAAAGAATTTGGATGTGTTAGACACCTGGCATAAATTCCCCTTCATATTTTATTTGCATATGTGCCTACCTAGAACCTAAGATCATCCTCTGAGCTCCTTCTCAGAGTATCCTCTGAAGGAAGCAGGAGGGGGGCTATGAGGCGAAGGGCCTTCTTGATGGTGGCACTTCAACTTTGGAATCAGCTCCCCTTAGAGGTTCATCTGGGGCCCTCTACTCCTTTTGGCACCAGGCAAAAACTTATTTGCCCAATATTTCTATAATTAAAGTAATTTTAAGAGGGACTGCAGGTGGCGCAGTGGTTTAAACCGCTGTGCTGCTGGGCTGGTTGATCGAAAGGTCACCGGTTCGAATCTGCACAATGGGGTGAGTTCCCATTGCTCCGTCCCAGCTCCTGCCAACCTTGCAGTTCGAAAGCATGCAAATGCAAGTAGATGAAAAGGTACCACTTCGGTGGGCAGGTAACAGCATTCCGTGCACTTTGGTGTTTAGTCATGCCGGCCACATGACCACCGAGACTGTCTGTGGACAAACGCTGGCTCCCTCGGCCAGGAAATGGAGATGAGCACCGCCCCCTAGAGTCAGGCATGACTGGACGTAACGTCAAGGGGAAACCTTTACCTTTAAGAGAACTATTACGTGGTATTTATTATAAGTTCTTCTGGACCCATAGAGGATTTCTTCAGCAGCAGTGTTTTCAGTGTCTCTTTCAGACAACATGGGACCACTTCTCACAAAGAGGCATTAATCTCCCTTCCCTCCCTCTGCTTTTTTTCACAGGGCAAAAAAAGAAAAAAGGATCTATTATGGAAGAGGTTGCATGAACCTGTCCAAGCACGTTAGGAAACTGGACCAAGTTACACTTTGGGATTATGTTGCCTGATTCTCCAATACAGCCTAAGTCCAGGCAGATGCAAGATATTTTATTCTGGAAGCACCTAGAAAATATGTAACAGTGAGCCTCACATGTCTCTATTCTTAGGGTAGCATGTAATAGGCGCCAGACAACCTTTAAAAGTTCTGCTGGGCAGCAGATAGAGGATAGAATTGAGCCAGCAAATCACACCAGGATTTGATTGCATCCACTAGGGGTTTTTCTCCAACTGCACTCAGGCTGTCCACCAGTTTGTTTGATTACTTTCAGTTCCAGGTTATACCATTGACTCATATGAGCTGTGTTGTAAAAAGAATGCTCAGGAACAATTGTTTCTAGCATCTGAGTCATTTCTGCATTCCACAGACTGACCAGACTTTCTAAAGGAATGTGAGATTTTTTAGCTGGGAAACCAAGAGCTCTCTGGAGATCCTCTGAATACATTATTAATAGAAGCTTCAACACTATCAGTTCAATTATTATTGTTGTGTAAACAGATCAGCTGAATTGTTTGGATAAGAAAAGTGCAAGGAATCTCTGTGTTCAGAAATTGAAAATGCAAATTATTGTGGATGTAAGCCTTTTTATGCTACTATAGCACATTTCCGTAGGGCCTGAACACATCCACATGGAAGTCCTATTTAAATTCATGGATCGTGTGTCACAGCAATAGCTTGAGAACTGAGTCCCTATGCAAGAAACATATTGTGCTTTTATCATTTTGTTTTGTAACACTGAGGATTATATGGCAATGTGAGAATAGTATTTTTTTCTTGAATTATCTATCCTAGTGACACAAATTTTCTTAAAATAATTCTAGGTGTGGTGTTTTTGTCTGGAAGAAATCAAATATACCTAGCTCATGGAGGTGTCAAATCATTTGGTATACTTTATAAAATGTCATCAGAAAACACACAGGTAGATACTAGATACTTTCTAAACATGCTATAGAGCTTTGTGCAGGCAACACAGATGTTTAAAATTATTTTCAAGTAACTCGCCAAGCATGCATGTTTTACAA